ATTCCATTTGAAAACAGGGACACTTCTGAGTCTATTCCTTCCGTCATGTCTTTCACAAATAATAGAAACAGCATGTGTCCTATAAATGACCCCTGTGGAACCCCGCTAGTCACAGGAGCCCACTATGATACCTCGACATGTACCATGACTTTCTTTTGTCTTCCTGACAGGTATTCTCTGATCCATTGAAGTACCTTACCTGTTATCCCTGCCTGGTCCTCCAGCTGTTGCACTAATCTCTTGTGTGGAGCTGTGACAAACGCTTTTTTAGAGTCCAAGAAAAAGCAATCTACCCATCCCTCTCTTTCTTGTCTTACTGCTGTCACCCTGTCAGTAGGTTTGTGACACAGGATATCCTTTCTCTGAAACCAAATTGGTTGTCGTTGATAAGCTCATTCATTTCTGGGTGTTCCATCACTCTTCCCCAGAAATCTTCTCCATGACTTTGCATACTATACAAGTCAGTGACACTGATCTGTAGTTTAATGCATCGTGCTTGTCTCCTTTTTTAAACAATTGGGACTACATTTGCTGTCTTCTACACCTCAGGCAGTCTCCCTGTTTCGATAGATGTTTTGAAGATTGTTGTTAGTGGTACACAAAGCGCCTCTGCTCCCTCTCTCAGGACCCATGGAGAGATGTTATCCGGCTCCACCGCCTTTGAGATATCTAGCTCGCTTAGTAGCCTCTTCACTTCTTCCTCGGTTGTACATAATGTGTCCAACACTCGATGGTGTACCCCACCCCTCCGTCTTTCTGGAGTCCCTTCTGTCTCCTCTGTGAACACTTATTTGAATCTCATGTTGAGTTTCTCACATACTTCTCGGTCGTTTCTTGTGATCTCTCCTCCTTCCTTCCTCAGCCTGATTACCTGATCCTTGACTGTTGTTTTCCTCCTGATGTGACTGTAAAACAGCTTCAGGTCAGATATGGCTTTCACTGCTGTGTCATTTTTGTATTGTTGTTGGGCCTCCCTCCTTACCTGTGCATATTCATTTCTGGCTCTACGACTGCTCTCCTTATTCTCCTGGGTCCTTTGCCTTCTATACTTCTTCTATTCTCTAGCACACTTGGTTTTGGCCTCTCTACACCTTTGAGTGAACCAAGGGCTCATCCTGGCTTTCTCATTATTCATGTTACCCTTGGGTACAACCCTCTCCTCAGCTTCCTTGCATATTGTTGTCACATATTCCATCATCTCGTTTGCTGACTTCCCAGCCAGTTCTCTGTCCCACTGAGCCCCGTGCTGGAAATTCTTCATGCCTGTGTAGTCCCCTCTCGTGTAGTTTGGCTTCATTCGTCCTGCCCTTCCTGCTTCCCTCTCCACTTGTAACTCTACTATGTATTCGAAGCTCAGAACCACATGGTCACTGGCCCAGAGGGGTCTTTCATATGTTATGTCTTTACTCAGACCAACTAGAATGTATCACTAATACTTGCACAAGGGATGAACATGGGAAATATATAATAGCTAAATTCAAACCCAAATACCTACAAAAACCTCTCACAGTGATAAACATCTACAGAGTACCACAGTCAAACATTAGCCGTTTTAGGACAACTGGAAGTATGATAACTGATGCACGCATGAACAAAGATCACTTACTACTCTCAGGTGACTTCAATATAAATCTCCTACAAGACCAGGACCCACACGTTACTGAATTCACAAACACTATGAGTAACTGTATGTTCCTACCAACAGTAACAAAACCTACAAGAGTTACAGAGACTAGTGTTTCCCCTACTAGACCCATCTGGGCCAAAAACCATATCCCCCTTAAGATCAGGCTAATCACAGATAATACCACAGATTATTACCCTACCTTCCTCGTAACAAACCTTGGCAAATTACCCCAAGACACTACTAAAGTCACTTTCAGACTTCACAATGAGGCAGCCATT